CGATCCTTCCGATCCCATGCTTCTTGAGCTTTGAGCAACTCCTCGCTACTTGGTTGCGACCTTCCGGTTCGGGTTGCAGCAGTTCCTCCTTCCTTCACCCCACTCAACAATGCTCCCCCAGCTCCGGATCCCACTTGGCTGGTTGCTCCAGTAGACGCCTCCCCAGAGTCAGCTCGTGGTCGCTTCTCCGATCCATCCAACACACTTTCTAGGTCCTTAATACCTAGCCATAGTGTGAACTGGAACCTCCATAGCGAAAAGTCCGAGCCGGTAAACCTAGGAGGGCCATCCAACTTTTGGGCCATGTCAAACCCTAGATCTGGAGCACTTCAAGCCTCTCTAGATCTCTTCCAATGGAGGAAAGAACGTCCTCTAACCGTGGCTCTGATACCACTGATGGAAATCGTGCAAATCTGGAGAGAACTAATTAGAGATTAAGTCTGACGACCTCAACGAATCATTGCGTGCTGCTCAGGTAACTTCTAGAAATGAGCTTATACGCGTTGGAAAGGTCTTAATCTCTACTTTCCAGAATGGTAAAGCACGTTCATAACCAAGATCTGAGCCGCCGATTATGACGAAATCAGTGTGAGGGGGTCTTCTGGTAATTTGGCTAGGCAGCCATGAATCACCTAGTAAAAACGAGAAGGGAAGCAGTTCGATCAGGAAAAGTTCAAGTATTTGATTGTCAAACAACACCAACCCTCGCCCTGAACCAAACCCTAACACTCCCAAGTGCCACAGCTGCAACATCAAAGATGTTGTAGTGGGTATGGGGTAGTATGGGTTGGAAAGGTAACGAGATCAAACCTAGCCAACCAACCCAATTCTTTTGCCCAAATCCCAATAGCCCACAGCCAGCTAGAGCAAATCACACCACAGAACACTACACATTTATCAGTGCTTACTTTGGGGGTACTGGTTCTAGGGGTGCTGGTTATGTGGGTGGTGCTTTAGGGGGTTGTAGTCTTGGGGATGCTGTTTCGAAGAGTACAGGTGGTAGCCGAAGTGGAGCTGGTCCTGGAGAGGACAGGGAGCCGCAGAAGCAGCAGCAGCAGCGATGGCAGCCGCATCAGCAGCAACAGCGGCAGCCGCATCAGCAACAGCACCAGCCGCAGCACTAGCCACTGCCCTTCATCTCCAGCTGCCATTTGTCTCCTTCGCTTGTCCTCCGGTTCCCCTGACCGACCCCCCATCCCTGCTATTGTGCCTCCCCTCTCGCCTGACCCTGTCTACGGCCCGCTGTTCCCCCCCCCTCAGACTCCTCTCCGACTCGTTTCCCCTCTCGCTCTCCTCCGTCTCCTGTCCTGTCCCCCGCCCCCAACTCGTCCCCAGTCCCCCGTCCTTCCCCACTGGGTCCGTCGTCCCCCTGGCGCTCGTGCTGTCTCTCCTCGTGCTAGTGTCCACCTTCTGGTCCTTCATTCTCGTGCTCCTCTAGTCCCCGTCCTACCGCTCCCTCCCCAATCGTTCCTAACCCTGACCTCTGCTCCTCCCTCTGACGTTGCTCACACTGCTCGTCCTACCACCTCTTGCTTGCTTGTGTCGCTTGTCACTGACCCTACCACTCCTCCTGAGACTATCTCTGCACTTATCGCTGCTGTTGTTGACTTCGCTGCTAGCCACCGCCTTGACTATGTTGCAGCTCTAGTCTCTGACCCTGCCTGTTCTCCGTCGGGGGTGCACTTGCTCTTGGCAATGATGTCGAGGATAGACAGTACAAGCTTGGTTACCTTAATACCACTGTACCTCATCACTGCGCCATGCTTATATCCCAAGAGGGCGACTCGGATGACCTTGACATCCCTATCTCGCGCTCTTACGCTGAGGCGATGTCGGGTGCCTGGGCAGCCCAGCAGATACAAGCCATGGAGGTAGAGCTGGCTCCTACAGATCTACAGGCACCTACGTCGACGAAGTTCCCCCGCCTAAGGCGAACGTAGTCGATAGCATGTGTATATACAAGGTGAAGCGCGCACCTGAAGAGCTGGCGAAGTTCAGGCGCGTTACGTGGCTAGAGGCTTTAGTCAGTGAGAGGGTGTGGACTTGTTCCTGACCTTCTCCCCTACCCCATAGATGACTACTCTTCGGGTGCTCCTTCGCCTAGTCGAGCAGCGTCACTACAAGCTTCAATCACTTGACTTCTCCACAACCATTGTGTAGGGTAGTCTGCACGAATAAATCTACCTCTAGCGCCCACTAGGCTTCTCTGGGTCCTTCTCACCTAGAACACAGTGGAGCCTGCGCCGCCCTGTCTACGGACTACGTTAGGCGCCCCGTCAGTGGCACGACATGCTCCGCACCACACTTGCTGCTTTGTTACACTTCTTTCTCATTTCCATTATTTTCCTCTATCTCATCCTTTTTCTTAATCCTGATTCCTTTGATCTTTATCTCATCTCATTTGGTTTCCTATTCCTCATTTTCGATTATCCTTTGGTTGATCATATTATTATAATTATATTACCGACCAGGCTCGAGATGTACTGGCGAGCTATATCTAGCATAATCCTGCCGTAAACCCTTAAAGCCAATAGCCTCGCATGGCTGTACGCAGGGTGATTCTATTTCTAGAAGGGTCTATTCCCTTTGGATAAGATAAACCTGGTTACCTGATGTACCTTGGAAATCTAAAAGCGCCTTGTGTCAATCCATGGTGTAACTTTTCCTCGACCCATTCGATCGTGTGACAGGTTAACCCTAGTTCTCCTCAGCACAGCCCACCCCTCTGCTTGTGGATCACAAGCTCTCTGACCCTGTTCCGGCTGAGCCGGTCGAGCCCATTAGTATGCAGAGCCGGTGGGTTGCCTTATGTACCTGACGACCTGCACTCGACCAAATATAGCGTACCCTCTCAAAATCCTTGCTCGTTCTATTTCGACAGGGAGGCAGTCCACTGGTCGGCTGCCAAGAGGATGCTGCGGTATCTGGCGAGTACATCAAGACGAGGGATTGTACTAGGAAGACGAGAGCCAGTGGTACTTACTGGACACACAGATGCGTTGTGGGTTGACGGTTTGGCCACTTAGGAGTTCCGCTGGTTGACGTTCTTGCTCACCGAATTAGGTGAGCTGCCTAGGTCTGTTCCAGTCCTGTTTGCTGGCAATAGGGCCATGATCCTCCTGCATCAGGAGGCTCGACTTGAGGGCAGAGCGAAGCACATCCAGCTATGGTACTTCCTGCTGCGTGAGTTGCAGCTGCGCGGTCAGGCTCGTGTAGTATAGTTGGCCCCAGAGGCCAACACTGCTGATATCTAGACCAAGGCACTACCGCCTAGTAACCATCAACAGTTCTGTACTCAGCTTGGTCTAGTCTTAGTAGCAGCTCTGCGCCTTGTATCCTAATCTATGCTATACTGGCTTGTACTTGCTATTCTATGCCTGCTTGTCTTGCTACACTTGTTGACTAGCCCTGTGGCCCTTGTCTCAGTGGTCAGACAAGAAGTGCTACCTCGAGCTGCTTTGTTACATCCACCAGAGGCCAGACTAGAATTTCTGCCCTGGTTTGTTAAACACTGGCTCTACCTAGGCTAGGGGGTGTGTCAACTACCATACATGTCTATAGTTACGTAAATTATGTTTGTATAACCTAGCTAGGTCAGCTCTTAGGGAGGATAACACTTGTGTACTTGTAACACCGATGGTATGCTGTTATGCTGCACATGCAACCATCACTCCATTCAGCTTTGGCCCACTTCATCACATGGCATGACACTCTGTTCACAACCAATTTTGTGACCGCTTGCTCCCTTGTCCTTTGCAGCGCTCGAAAACCCTGTCGACACTTATTTCAAGAACATATTTGGAGGACCCAAGAGGTTAACGTGATGTCCTTGGCTTCTCAATGAGCAGTGGAGGAATGGTTGATTTCACGTGGGTGTTCCCTTGGTGGAGCTGCTTCCATGCGAGTCTTGTTTGCAGGCGTTGTGTGTGGAAACTGCATGGGGTGCTATTGGTGGAGGTGGAATGTGTAGGGACTCGTATGTAATCTTACTACACGTACCTCCTGGTGTCAACTTTCTCTATACCTGGCTAATTTTGAACAATTGATGCACACATAACAACCAAGAGAAAGAGAGAAAGAGAGAGAGAGAGAGAGAGAGAGAGAGAGAGAGAGAGAGAGAGAGAGAGAGAGAGAGAGAGAGAGAGAGAGTGAGAGAGAGAGAGAGAGAGAGAGAGAGAGAGAGAGAGAGAGAGAGAGAGAGAGAGAGAGACCCTTTTTAACTACAATGCAAAAACGGAGTCTATTGTAACTCAGGCTATGGGCCTAGCCATGGTGTGCCATGTCTCTTCAATATATCATGATGGCTTGATGAAGGAATGGGACAAGATAGTATGGAAACTTAGGTTCCACATTGAGATAGAGATGTGGCTGTCTTGAATGCATTGGAACACCCGAGCCTCTTCTTGCATATTTCGGCTAGTTTATCACCTTGGCCAGCTCCCATGCTCCTCCCCCTCTAGACTTGCATTGAGTAGAGCACCATCTAGACTAGCACTGAGAAGCGCACCATCTAGACTTGCACACTGCTGGGGCTCGTTAGACTCATAAGAGGGACCCCTTTCTGTGGGTCACGGGAGGAGCTCTCCTTGGTTCATGTACCGCTGTTGCTGGATATTTTACCACTCTAGGGCACACCTGTCCACTATGGGGCACACCTGTCCACGATAGGGCACACCTGTCCACTCTGGGACACACCTGTCCGCTCTGGGGTAGGGAGGGGAATTCGAAGGGAAGGGGAGGGGAAATGGAGGGAAAAGAGGGGCGAAAGGGATAGGAAAGGGAGGGGAAAGGGAGGGAAAATGGAGAGGAAATGGAGGGGAAATGGAAGGGAAAGGCAGGGAAACGGGAGGGGAAAGGGAGGAGAAAGGGTGCACAAAAGAAAGGGGAAAGGGAGGGAAATAGAGGCGAAATGGAGGGGAAATCCATGGGAAAGGGAGGGAAAAGGTAGGGCTCTATAATGGGCCAGGGCAAAACTCAAAAGTACCAAATTCGGGCTCTTCCACTTCATGTTCGAGCTCTTCTTGTACCTACCCTTCCTCATTATCCTCCTCTCCCTCCTCATCCTCCTCTCCCTCCTCACCCTCCTCTCCCTCCTCATCCTCCTCACCATCCTTCTCATCCTCTTCCTTCTCCTCATCTTCCTCCTCCTCCTCTTCCCCTTCTTCCCCCTCGTCCTCCTCATCCTCCTCATCCCCCTCCTCATACTCTTCATCATACTCCCCATCGCACTCTCCGTTGCCCTCCTCATCGGCCCGCCTCCTCCCCATCTTCATGGCTATTCTCTCCCTCCTCCTCTATCTCCCACTCCTCCTCGTCCCTTGCTCCAATGCACCCTCGCCCGACCCTCCCTCGCGCTGTACGCCTTCATATAGATAACCTGATCTTGTCAGCTAGAAAGCAAAGGGCACTTGCGAACCAAGCATGCTCGCAATGATGGCATATCCCATATGGCTACTGGTATATGGCATATGACAATTGCAAGGCCGCCATGGCTCCTGACGGGGTTTTCTTATCTCTGTTTCCCTACCAATTTCTCTCCTGGCCATCGATCCTTTATTACAATTGGATTCTACACATCGAACACTACATGTCGGCTTTTCCTTAATGTTTTCTCCAGTGGAAATTCCTCCGACTTATGTGGGTTCCAAGAATCCCAAGGTTCTGGATCAGGTTGTGCTGGATGTCCGCTGTCTTTGTCTACTCCCAATGGAAATCTACAACAAGCACTCAACAGAAGCATTGGAGGATAAAGATGGAGGCTCTGACCAATGGCGTACAAGCAGCTTATAAACTAGTCGTCACTCGAAGTTTCGGAAAATACGACTTTTTAATAACAGTTACGTGCTCAGTATCCCCAGCGTCTCTGCCAGTTCAGGTAGTCCTTCGCGATCTCATCATCGCACAATGGTGAAGCCCTCAGCCAAGTCCGTTGGCAATATCACTACCAGATCGAGCCATCGTCGTTCCCAGACTGAAGATGGATACTTCCCTGCTGGACTGTCATCTTTAGTCTGGGAAGATGACCGTCATCTTTAGTCTGAAGATGACGGTCAGCTGGACTGTCATCTTCAGTCTGGTCCAGCCTGGTCTAGATACTTCCCTGCTGGCGGATCCGCCTATTCAGCTGACTTTGGACCAGCCATCTGTTCCTCTGCCCGCTGGCCCATTCACGGATTTCTCGGCTCAACCAGCTGTTCTTGTCGTGCCAGCCATGCCGGATCTGCAATTTCCGCCTGTTGCTCCTGATCCATCTATCGTGACACGTCTGCTGCTCTATCGCCTCCGTCCGTGGTCTAGCCAGCGGCTGCTCCGTACCCGGTTCCATCACCCTGCAAGCGGGGAGTTCTCACAAGATGCACTCAGGATAAAAGAGGAGGATGATGACGATGATGACGATGTCTATTATAGTGATGATCCCGATGAACATCCAAATCCTGTAAAGAAAAGGGAAGTTGCTGCAAAGGCGAGCTTTATTCTGATGCTTCTGATCCCTAATAGTTATGCTAAGGAGATTCTGTGTGTGAAAGACTCGGTTGACGTGCTCCTGGAGCTCTGGGCTCGCCGTTTATCGCCAATGTCAAGGAGTCAATGAAGTTCCAGTTGCTGCACCCAACCTTCATCTCCAAGCAGTATTTTGGTCAGCTGCAAGTCACTCTTCTGTCTGCTCGTGATGCCAATGTGATATGGGGTGAGAATGGTCATTGGCATTAGAGCAAGAATGGTCAACCACCTCACCCCATATCACATTGGCATCACGAGCTTGCTCTAATGGCAAGCTTGGGATGGACTCGCATAAGGTTCGCGGTCTTCTGGCTCCGCACCCGGGTGATGTGTTTCGGCCGCTGCACGCTATTGATGATCCACTCCTTGGTGACAAGAAGCTGCTGATCCACTACCCGGCCTTCATATGCAAGCTGTGTGGCAGCCAGCACCTGATGGCTGTCCATGAGGACCTCGTCATTGACCGCCAGAACAGCATTAGCAACTGGAAACTTACCTTGGAGAGGGTGCATGCCCTGAACAGTAACTCTGGTTGTCTTGCCTTCCCAGTCATTGTCTGTTCCAAGTTTCCACTGACCTTGCTAATGCTAACCCATGCTCGTGACTGGATCTTCTCTAAAGGCTTCAGATGGCATGAAGAAGATCCTGAAGGATCATTCCTTGGTCCTGATCTCGATGGGTGTCGATCGGGAGTGGTGGATTTGCCTTCAGGGGTACTGCCACAAGGCGCACGAAGCTTAATTTGCCCACGTGCTGGCGCACATCCTGCAGACACATCACCGTACTCGCCTACTGCAAGTGGACTCATCGACGCGTGTCAACAAAGGGAAGCTATTGCTGAGGCTGGAGTCAAAGGAGTGTGGGTTGGAGTCGAAGAAGTCGCAGCCGTGTCAGCAGTAGTTGGCTCTCACCATGGTCGTGTTACGCGGCAGATGTTGGTAGATAGGAGTGTTGCTAACGGTAATCAGGAGTGTTACCTGCTGTGTCACCAGTCCAAGTGTAGTCGCCTAGTGTTCAGATCCCCATGTTGTCGCTCAAGGTCTTTATTCCTCTCCCTATTTTCGCCTTGTGGATGCTTGTGAACCGCCAGTGTAGTTGTCAATGGATAGCACCAAGTTGTCAATTTGTAGTCTGAATGTCAATGGACTCAATAGCTGAAGGAAGCAAGTCAAGTTACTTCACTGGATCCATAGAGCCACAGACATCGTAGTATTAGTAGACTCAAGGATTGCAACAGATCACAATTTCTCGGGTAGGCTAGGTATGGTCTGCATCACATGGAGAGGAGTGCAGACGATTTTAGTAGCTGTTTACTTCCTAGCTCAGGCGGTTGCGCACACTCCCTTTTACAAGGATACCTTAGTCCCCTTTGTCGCTGCTCTGCCGTGTAGTGCTCATCTCATACTTATCGGTGACCTGAACGTCGTAGATGATCCGCTTAGACACAACGTCCCGACTAGGCTCACCGGCTGGAAATGCCTGTGTGGTGCAGTTCTTCAAATCTCATGTCACATATGGTAGAGGCGCACCACCATGATGGTCCCATTGGTGTTTCGGACCACTGGTGCGGGGCTCAATTGCAGATCTGTGCTGAGTTTAGAGAGGCTGCGGGGCCTGGGATTTGGTGCCTTCATGCATCGCTCGTCGGCAGCCCTGGGGTAAAGGCACTCATAAAAAAAGTAACGACGCGGCACCATTCGGAGGGGAGGGGTGACTTTGTGGAGCTGGTCAGGAAGCTGAACACCAACCTGCATTCGTGCACCAGGGAAGAAAGGAAGAGGGTTAAAGCGACAACCTATCATTTGGAGCATTCGGCGGGAGAGTTGAGGCAATGTGTGATGAGGAACCCCTCCTCAGCTATTCTGCGCGTGGAGCTCCAGCTTCAACACACGAGGCTGAAGTACTAACAGCACTTGAGAGGCTTCAGCTGATGGCTGGGGTGAAGGCGGAGCTTGATGGAGGCTTCCCTCGAAGTTCCTGTCGGGGAAAATTCAGGCGCGGAAGGCAAAGACCTCGATCGAGAAGGTTGTCCATAATGGGGAAGATTTCAGAGGTTCGCGAGTGGTCCTGAAGGCGGCCTCTCAGTTCTTCGTAGAGGTGTTCGGCAAGAAGGACCAGGTTGGCGGTGTGGTGTCATGGTGTCCTGAAAAGGGGAAGTCACTCACGGAACACGAGGGGATGGAGTTCCAGCAGCTGGATGGCAGAGGAGGTATAGGCGGCTCTGAGACAAATGGCAGGAGGGAAGTCCCCGGGCCAGGTCGGGCTAACGAAGGAGGTCTTCGAACAGAACAGGGAAGAGCGGGAGAAGGACTTCATGAAGTTGGTAGAAGGGTTTTATGGCACAGCTCTCCTCCCGCTGCAGATCAAGGTTGCCCAATAGCACTTACAAGATCCTGGTGAGGGTGCTGGCAAACATGCTGCACCTGGATACTTTCAGTTTCTCTAACCGGGGCAGCTGCAAGAATGACTCGGGCAGGTTCCAAAGATTGTGGAGTTTTACCAAGAACAGGGTCTTGAGGGAGGAGAGTGTCCAAAGGTCTTATGGAATGCACGAAATATTCAAGTTGAGAAGCATGCGCGTGTGTAGCTTGGAGAGATTGGGGGAACAAATCCAGGAGCTTTGTTCACTTCAGGTAAAAAAGATGTCCAATGTCAGGAGCATTCTCAGCTGTCTGAAAAACACGGACAGCTCATGCAGACTTTCTAGCCAAACCTGGTCAAGGGCAGTAAGCATCGAGAACCAGATTGCTTTTGGCAATGCTATCAGATTCCATGAATATCAAGAGCTCCTGCAGCCTCGACAGGTGAGATACTGAATGAGGGAGTGAGCGCAGCAAGTCACAGTCCTGAATGTGCAGCTTGGTCAGTGAAGAGAGTCAGGAGAATGACGGGGTGGGCGATCGAAAGGGAAGACCCATGAGCTGGAGGCTCCGCAGGGATGGGAGTAATGTGTCTTCTGCACTGCCCATGGGTGTGTTGGTACTGCCATGAACAAGCAGCGGCTCATAACAAAGGAAGAGCTGTACATGCGAATAGAAAGACGTTACCCCGTTTATTACCCCGTGTATACCGGCGGATGCAAGACCTCAGAGAGCGGTACTATAGGCGCAACAAGAAAGTGTTAGGCATGTGAAAAGAAATAAGAGATAACACAAAGTTGCAGGACATACCATGGGAAAAAAGGTGGGAATTATCATGAGAAACGGAATGTGACATCCCACACGTGAAGGAGCACAATACAACATGAGGAAATAAAACAAGAGAATGTGAGGAGAGTTGGGCTTGCACTCCGCATGCACACTATCGATGCCCCTTCCCACCGGTCAACGAACGCTCGGAGGTCATTAACAGCACATGAAGAATCGAAAGAGGTGTCGTGAGTTGTGAAAGATACATGGGGAAAGCCGGGGAATGCAGGTGCTACCAGGTCTAGCGACAAAATGGGCAGTCTGTGAGTACAGGTGGGAATGGTGAGTCGAGATAGTGAGGAGTGATAGAAAAATGGGTGTGGTTGGGCGGAAGATGGCATTGGTGAAGGAAGAGCGCTGTGGAGCGCCGTAGTTGGCTGTGTTTTGGGGATGCGATGATGTGCGGATAAGGCAGAGTGTTGATATGTCACTCGGTTAGTTAGCAACATTGACGTGGTTTGAAAAGAGGGTAGCCGACATTTTATCCTTGTTTTAGGTGGACACGTCAGATTGGGATGGGGGTGCAGCTCATGTCAGTATGGAGGTGAGTGGTTGGAGGTGTGGTGTGGACTGGGTGGATGGGATTGGTG